CGCGCCGGGGCCCCAGGTCCCCGGGCTGCCAATGCCAGCGCGCCCCCGCTGAGCGAGCTTCGGCGCGAGGGTCGCGGCGCCGGCCGGGCCCACGGCCCTCACGAGCGGCTGCGGCTCCTTGGGCCGGTTGTCATGGGCGTCGGCCTGTTCGTGTTCATCTGCGCCAACACGCTGCTCTACGAGAACCGCGACTTGGAGACGCGACGGCTTCGCCAAGGGGTGCTGCGGGCTCAGGCGCTCCGGCCCCCCGACGGCCCCGGCTGGGACTGCGCTCTCCTCCCCAGCCCCGGCCCCAGGACTCCCCGAGCCATAGGCTGCGCAGAGCCAGAAAGTTGGGACCTGTCCCCGCGTCGGGGTACCTCACCCGTCCCGTCAGTGCGGAGCCTGCGTTCAGAGCCTGCTAATCCTCGCTTGGGGTTACCTGCCCTGCTTAGCAGTTACCCGCTGAAGGGCCCGGGGCTGCCCCCACCCTGGGGTCCACGGACCCAGACTGGCCATGTGATTATCACCGTCCAGCCCTCTGGTTCCTGCATCGAACATTCCAAGTCTCTGGATCTGGGCCTTGGGGAGCTGCTGCTTGGGGCCTCAGCAGCTCGGGACTGTGCCCACAGAAGCTGGCCACGGCTGGACCGCCTCAGTCTGGGGAGTTATGCCAAGTTGGGAGGAGGAGGGGACTTGGGGGCCCGGGTTTGAGGAGCAGGGGACAGCCTGCCGTGAGGTTGCAGCATGGACCATGGTAACAGGACCAGGAGTTCCAATGTCTAGTAGATGCTTCAGTCACATCCCAGACTGAGGACCGATGCTCTGGCCCCAGCAGCTGCTAAGGCATCCTGACTTGCATGTCGGCAGAGAACTGCCAACTGCACAAGGGTTCAATAAGCTGGAGAGAATGTCTTTTAATGTGGAGTCTGGAGACCTGCATGACTCGGCCTCAGGAATTCCTTCAGCCTCCAAAAGTGGCTTTAGCCCTGGACAGGTACCTGAGGGGGCTGGAGGCCCAGGCCAGGGTGATTGGGAGATGCACTTGGTGTATTGGCAAACCCAAAGCGGTGGGCAAGGAATCCTAAGACTTGGAAGGTAGGTTGGCATGTTTCAGGCTGGGGCAGGCTCCCTCCAAGGTGGCACTGGTGGTGGGGTTTGGGCCTCCGGGAAGATGGGCGGTGGGGTAGAGTTGAGACCCTCCACTGCCATCTGGGATGGGACTGAGCCTTTAGCTCCCACCACCTCACCCCCTTTCCTCCTTCAGCCATGCAGGGTTCATCCCACCGGGGCTACACTACTGCCTAACGCCTTCCTACTGATGGTCGGGGTCCCCCAGTCAGGTCTGAGAAGCCCCCTTCTCTCCTTCGTTGTGGCCTATGCTGCAGAATCTCCCTTCAGTTGGCAAAAAGCATTTGCCAGTTCTCAGAAATCCTTTTATACAACGTTGAAGCTGCATTTTGGCTGATGTGGGTAGCTTACTTTAGAAAATGGCTTGATTTTTGGTCTCCCCCACCCTTGTTTAATTTTTCCCAAATTGCTGGTAGAGAAAGAGAACTTTAAAAGTCTATCCTCACAGATTCAGTCTGTTTTTTAAAGTTTATTGAAAAATGCAAAACAAGAAGCAAGACCAACGCATAACTAAACACTACAACCACTTCTCTTACTACCAAGGCCAGAACAGCAGACTGATTATTGCCTACTTAATCTAAGGATTTTGCCAATTTGATTCTGCTGCCATAGTTCCTATTTTGTCAAGAGATGTAAACAACTACTTGATATGATTCATAATTTTTTAAAAATTTACAAAGCTCCTTCATTTTTGTCATCAAAATAATATATTTGAGAGAGATTTGTAAAAACCACCAGCCTGGGGCTGAGATCCTGGGCAGGTATTTCCCATGAGCATTCCTTGGTATTGGTCAGGCCATAGCTCTGGTGTCATTTCCCAGGGTGACTGTTGTCCCCTCAGCTGCCCTGCAGAACACAGGGTGGGGGCGGGGGAGGGGGGCAAAGATGCAGCTAGGCCCTGTGGGCCCTCAGCGTATAAGCGCAGGCCCTGCTCGGTGGGTGGGTGGGAGGGGGTGGCAGAGACCTCATGTGGCTTGGAGGAAGTCTTTAATTCTCAAGTGAAATGAAAATAAAATTGCAGCAAGAGTTGTTACTGTGGTGTGTCTGAGTCACTTTAGGAAAGCTGCTGCCAAGTCTCTGACCCTGGAAATGAAACTCTCTTCCCCCCGCTTCACCATTTCCACCTGGACAGTCTGTTTTCTTCACACACGCACACACAACTGCAGGAAGAAAAAAAAATCCAAACAACTGCCAACCCCTCAAGACCTGTTATCAGAGAAGGAAGAAGGTGGACGAGGCTTGCAAGGGCACCCCTCTTGCCAGCTTGTCCAAATCATGGCTTCTCAGCATGGGAAGGACATTAGAGACCTTCTGGTCCAAGTTATAGATAAGAAAGCAGAGAGAAGTGCAGTGAGGTGGTGACAGAGCCGAGGGAAGTTGAGGCCCCCTGATTTGTGGTCCTGTGCCCTGGAAGCGGCCACACTGATCTGGCTGGCACCGTTTTCAGTGGGTCAGATTTCTACTGTACGTGCCATGCCCTCCTCCTTTCCCACCCTCTTCACTCCACAGGTTTCAGCTGTGGGAGCCACAGTGGCTCTTCAGCAGGACAGCTGGCCATTGGAAAGCGCGCTCACGTTACATGCATGTTTGATGAGAGCCTGACCTCTAACCTCACCGCCACTGCTGGCCACACAGCCTAGGCTTGGGCACCACCCAGAAAGCCCCATCATTTCAGCCCCTCTGCACACAGGCTGCAAGTCGTTTACTGAGATAGGACAACCTCCTTTCCCCCAAGCCTGTCACGCATCCCGCCTGAGCTCCTCCATCCTCCCCAGAGAGAGCCGCCTGTTGGTTAGTAACAGTCTCACATAAGTACTAACAGAAAAATGCACACACTTGACATCAGTTCAAATCAACTGGGTTTGTCTAAACAAAACTCAGTCAGCAGAGACTCTGGATACGTCCGCTGGCTCCCGCTGCTGGGAGCCGGAGAGCAGAGGCTTTCGACATCTGTCTTGCTCACTGCCCTTGAGCCCCTGCGCTGGCTGACTGTGACCCACTGTCTATCTCATGAAGTCTACTTCTGTCCTAGAATTAGAACTTCCAGGAAGATCTGTTTGAGGGAAGCAAGCTGGAAGAACAGAGAAGCCCTACTGAATAAAAATGCCTCCAAATCTTGACCAGAAATGGTGGAATCCGGGACAGCGGTCCTCATCTTCAAAACCAAACAAACAAAAAAATGAAACCCAAAACCCACCACAAAAATCAAGCCTACAGAACCTGACGGACCTCAGGTGGGGAGTGGGGATGAGCGGAGCTGGTATTGTACCCGTTGTCGTGTGGGGTTCTGTGGGGAGGATGGCCCCTAAAAGCCAATTCCCTTGCTCCAGAAAGGTGTCTCTAGGCAGGTGCTGGTCAGGAGGAGAAAGTCAAGGAACACAACCTCCTCTCTGAGTCACATTCCCTATAGTTCCAGGATTAAAGAAAGGCCCAGGGATGGTCTCCTGGAAAAACTTCTTAGCAGGATCTGACTGAGGTAAACCCCACCATTCCCCTGTGTGAAGAGCACATTCCCAGGACTAGAAAACCTTTTTAAAAACCTCGTTAACTTTCCTTGTCCAAATCACCACTAAAAATGTGCCATTAGAGCTTTTGGCCAAAAGTGCCTATTTTCCCGCGAGTTTTGGTCTCCTGAGATGGGAGGTGGGGGAGCACTTTGCAGAGCCACTGCTTCTGATGAGGTAACGGGGAGGGAGGGCAGGAAGGTGAAGGCCACCGATATGTTCAAACATTCACAGTATCAGATATATCTGAAGCAGCTTCTTGGTCTTTGATCTAAAGAAGCTCCAGAAAGAAAGAACAGGAAGGAGGAAGGAAAAACAAGACTACATTCTTAGTAGAGGTCTCTGCCTCACCAAAACCACCCTCAACAAAGGGACAGGGACATTTTCCTGGGGTCTGTGGATCAGGGCAGCCGCCCTGCCTCACATGGTAAAGTCACATCACTGGCTCTGAGCAAGGGCTGGTTTATGAAGTTCCTGCTGTCATCCAAAGGGTACAAACTAGAGGAGGAGCAGGGAGGCCTCATCAAGCTGGCTTTGGCCCCCAACACAGCTGACAGAGTCTTTTGAGGATTTCTCAAAGAATTCTGTGGACCCTGTCAGTATCTGGGTTGGAAATAAATGGGGAGAGGCTAGGCTGAAAGGTTACAAACCACCTCATAAAAACCAAAAAGTGCTTTAAAAACTGTCCACAGAGTGAAAAGCTGAACAATTTCTGGTATTACAATATAGAAAAAGGTATTCAAAAGGATCAGTGATATCTAGAAGACTCTCTTGGTATAAACTCCAAATAGAAAATGAAATTAATTTTCTGGTGGTTTAGAATAATCTTGAAAGTCTGAAGTTTGACGATTGCAGGTTAGCTTCTTTATCATTTTGCTGGTTTTCTCTTAGATGGGAGACGGGCAGGGAGTCGGGGGTAGGATAGTTCCTAGAGAAAAGAAAGCAACAAAATTTTTATTTGTTTATTTATTTATTTATTTATTTATTTATTTATTTATTTATTTTTCCCCCCAAAGCCCCAGTAGATAGTTGTATGTCATAGTTGCACAGCCTTCCAGTTGCTGTATGTGGGACTCGGCCCCAGCATGGCCAGAGAAGCAGTGCATTGGTGCGCGCCTGGGATCCGACCCGGGGCCGCCAGCAGCGGAGGGCGCGCACTTAACCAACCGCTAAGCCACGGGCCACGGGGCCAGCCCAAAATTTTTAAATATTGCAAAAAAGACAGCTACCCAGTCCCATTGCCAAGTTCTTGTGGCCACGAGTGACAATCCGGGCCTGAGCAGTTTTACAGGGCCCAGTCCTACCTGATGATTGACGGCTTCTTCAAGTCATTAGTAAACGACTTTTAGGCATAAATTTATCTGGGTCTCTGGCTCCCAAAAAGCAGCTACCCTGCTTCCAACTCTCTAGTCTGGCTCCAGGGCTTCAGCCGTTTCTCCCTTGTCCCCCAATCCCCCCCATTTCCAGACAGCCTGGTCCCACTTTTCTTGGTTTTGTTCTCCTCCTCTGGCCCTCCCAGGTTTAGGACCAGAGATGCCTGTGACAGCAGAGAGCAGAGCAGCAGAGAGAAGAGAGGGAAGGGGAGGTGGAGGACGCACGAAGATTCAGGAGGTGGGTGGGGGTTTACACCCATGTCTGGGGTATCTCCTCCAACCCATCACTGCTGGCACTGCTAAGGGCAGGGGGACACAAGGAGACCTAGCTGCTTTAGTTGGAGCCAAATACTTAATAACCTCCTATATCACCCTCACCAGCCTCTCCTCTGCCTTCACTTTATCAAGCCCCAGTGTGGACACCTCCAGGGGAATGGCTCCCGGAGCAGCCAGGGTTACCTTCTAGTGCTCTCTGAGGCTGGGACAGTGAGCACCCTCCACCCCAGCAAGAACAGCCCATACCTGAGCTCATTCCTCAGAGATTTCGGTCTCCTGATGGACGACCACCTTGGTCACTGACATGTCTGGGTGCTGCTCCTTTGCCTCCTTGATGGCCTGTACAAGGACCTGAGAAAGGCAGAAACAAAGCTCTTCAGGCAAGGAAGCCAGGGGTCCACAGGACAGCATTCCTCTGGCAAATTCAACCCTTCTGTCTGTAGTTGCAGAGTAGCATTTAGGCTAAGCCAAGCTCACGCTTGGCTCACCCTTACCCACGCTGTTCTGCATAGGGAGGCTCTTGGACTGAAAACAGAGGGACAGGGAAGGTTGGAGCTGTCTTCAAGGAATCAGTGAGGGACTTCAGGGGCGACACCTGCACCTGCCTGCATAGGTCTGGGAGGATTCACTCAAGAAGTGAGTCTAAACGGCAAAGCAAAATCTGTGTTCAACAGAGGGTAACTGTGAAGTTCAGGACAGGAGAGGAAAATAAAGAAGCATGCTACAAGAAGGAAGAGATGTCTTAGGCTAAAGTAGAGAGAAGAAAGGAAGGAAGAATGGTAAGACCTATTAGCTGCCATGCACTGGCCTGAGCACATTTCTTATTATTATTGACTTAATCCTCACAACAACTGAATGAATTAGGGTAGTATCATTATTTCCATTTTATAGACGAGGACACTGAGCTTCAGAGGTTAAATAAAGTGCTTAATGTTTCACAGCCAGGATGTAATGCAAAAGGGATTTTAACTTAAGTCCATCAGACTTTCCTCTTCACCACACTGTCTTTCAGTTTTGGAGGGACACCCTGTTTTAGCATCTGGAGGAGTTTTGATCATTTCAGAAAAGCTAGAGGGAGCAGAGGGAAAGTCAAAGAAGAACAATGATACCACTGCTCTCCTTGGGCTGCAAGTCTCTGAGCCTAAAGCTCAGAGCACCCCAAGGAGGAAGAGCTCAACACAGTCTTTGGCCGGTTGATGGCATGGGGGTTTTCAGAGACAGGCCCCCCTATCAGAAAGGACTCCAGCTGGATCTGACTAGCTGACTGTTGACCCTGGCTCTTAAGAACTATCTCTAGGAGGGACGAGGGAAGAAGGGAAATTCTTCTTTTGGTCTTTTGACTGCATGAAAGCCATTCTTGGAGCTGCCACCTCTATAGGCCCCTGCTCCTCCTCCCTGATCCTGTTTGCTCAACTCAGCTGCTCATGTTTCAAGGCCCAGCCCAAGCCCTCCCTTTGGTTACTCTGGCCTACACCTATCTCTCTATGAAAGCCTGCACCACACTACTTCTCCTGAACAGTCCTTCTTAAAGTGCCTCCCTCCCCATCCAGACTGTACCATGTCTTATCCTTCCATGTATCCCTCAGTACCTAGGAGACCTGAGAGACACTGGAGCATCTCTCTGAGCTATCAAGTATGCTTGCCCTATGTCACAACAACCCTGAAATAAACCTATGATTATCTTGATTTTACAGATGGTGAAACTATAGCTCAGAGAAGTAAAATAACTTGCTCAAGGGCAAGTTGCCAGTAAGTTGCAGAATCGGGATTCAACCCGGGTCTGTCTCACTCCAAACCCAAAACACCTTCCCATCCCACTGCTCCTGCCGTCTAGCACTGACTGAGCACATAGCAGGGGCTCACAGTGAGTGGGTGCGTGCAGGCTGGTGATGCAGCAGATCCACTGAGCCGGTGCAGACAGGCTGCAAGGCCTTCCACTTGGGCTTTGCAGCCTTGTTGCTGGGACCCTGAGCCTGGCATTCTCAGCTCTAAGTCTCAACCCCGCTACCAAGGGAATTGTCAGCATTGCAGCTTAGTCTTTCTTTCTTTTTTTTTTTTTAAGGCACTCAGCATATCAGCATAAAGGCCACAGAATTATTGCTCCAGCACGCCTGTCAAGATTCCAGAAGCATTTGCATAGCGTCTCTTCCACCCCCTCTTCTCTCCAGCTTTACTGTTCTAACCTCACCCAGCAGAGAGAATTGGGAACATTAATCCTGACCTTATTATTTGCTAATTGCTTGTAGCACACAATTAGCACCTAATTAACATAAAAACATAGAATTTTAGCACTCAGAAGGGCCCAGAAATTATCTAGATCAACCTATTCTCTTTTAGGAGAGGAAAAAAAATCAGAGGTAAAGTGATTTGTCCAAGGTCACACGGCAAGTTAGTGACACATCTAGGACAGAAGTCAAGTTCCAATTCTCCTGACTTCTAGTCCATCCTACTATGCTCCCTCTAGGTGTCTCCGCTCTGACAGCCCTCTGAGGGCAGAGCTCACACCTTCCTGTGTCTGGTATCATCCATGGTCTCTAGCACAGGTTTAGGTGCACAATAGCCCCCGAAGAGCAACAGTGCCAACCACCTGGAGCCCACTATGTGCCACATGCTGTCATCCCATATCTCACTTGATTCTCACAACAACCTTGAGAGGAAGATGCTATAATGCCCATCTGATGGAGGTGGAACTGGAGGCCCAGAGAGTTAAGAGCTAGACTATGGTAAGAACCAGAACCTGAACTCAAGTCTCTGAGTCCAAAGCCCATTTTCTTTCTATTTCACGTCCTTGCTGCCCCAATCTGTGGCCCCCATCCCACAGGCCTCCGAGGTCTGATTCCCTTTGTCCTTCTCGATTAAGAGCTAGAGTAGCCAAGGGGGCACTTTGGAGATGAAGCTGGCAGTGGTGTCTTTTGCAGGCCAACTCCTGCATCCATCAGTCTTCCTGCCCACGGAGACCTCCCATGCCCAGAATCCCCTTAGCATTCCCACCTGATCATGATCAATATCGGCATCTCCTGTGATCACAATTCTCTTTTCAATTCGGGTCTCTGAAATCCCACCTTTTACAGTCTGAAACCAAAGGGAGGGAGTCATATGAGACAGAAAGTAAGAAAAAAAAAAAAGGAAACAGCAAGAGATTATTCTGAAAGCTCCACTCCATTTTCATCTGCTGCTGGGTACTGGATAGGACAGCCTTCTCACCCATTTGTCCAAAATCTTGGCTGGACCTGCTAAAATGAGCATGCCTCTATCCCTTTGGATTGCTAAAATCTTTAATAAGTGAAACAGAAAGTCACAATTCTCTATATATTTACTTTTCCCTTTTTCTTCCTCCCAAACACCACAGAAATTCAGTGAGTAAACAAAACAGATAGGTGTTTCTTTTTTTGCTCTTTTCCTCTCTCTCTCTCTACATATATATTGTGTGTGTGCGTGCGTGTGTGTGAGGAAGACTGGCCCTGAGCTAACATCTGTTGCCAGTCTTCCTCTTTTTGCTTGAGGAAGATTGTCCCTGAGCTAGCATCTATGCTAGTCTTCCTTTATTTTGTATAGGGCATGCTGCCACAGCTTGATAAGTGGTGTGTAGGTCCCTGCCGGAATCCAAACCTGTGAACCCTGGGTAGCTGAAGTGAAGCAGGCGAACTTAACTACTACACCACCAGGCCGGCCCCTTCCTATATATTTTATTTGATTATTTTCAAGAGGAAAAAAAAAAATCAAAAGACTATGAACAAAAATGTCACACAGCTTGAAATTAGGCTCTTTGTTTTAAAGTATTTTCATATTATTGACGTCAAAAGACCCTCAAATGATCCCCTCAGGGTGGGTAGGTTTCCCTACTCGACAGATGAGGAAAACCAAGGTCTAGACACATTAAGTAACCGACTTCCACTCATTTGTGTGTTGACAGAGCTTGGTCAGGAATCTAGATTTCTTACTTACAAGAAAATGCATTTTCCTCTAGTGCTACAGCAAATATGGATTGTCTCTGATTTTCTGGGAGTAGTTCCAATTTTAGATACTCTGTCCTTCTTGCTCCTATAAACAATATTCTAATAATTCCAATATTTCAGCATCTAAACTACAGTTCCCATGGACTTGACCCTTATGACATGACATCAAAATTCTTTGTCAGACCTTGAATTCTGATTTTTGGTTTGGAAAATATGGTTGCATAATAATACCAACAATACCTGCCCTTAAACTGACTTTTTAGACTTACCTCCACAGCCAGATAGGGGACTTGCTGACCAGAGAGACTGACGGACGTGTAAAGAGAACAAGCACGCGTGACTTCCTGAGACGACTAAGGAGGCAGGGATACTCTCAGGGTCTCCCCAGGGTCACTGCTGGGGAAAGCAGCAGGGCCTTCCCACTGGGGACACTTGGACTAATTTGGCTCAGGAGGGCTGGAGCTGAAAACCCTTGCTTACAGACTGGGGTCCTTTTTGCAGAGAGGCAGCAAGCTTGGAATGTCACTGGATTCCAGAAGGAAGTTCTAGCTGGTCTGTTACCTTGGTAATTTGAGTTGTGGTGGTGCTGCTTGTGGTCTCGGATGTGATGGTCTGAGCTGTCAGCAAGACTCCTGGGTCCAAGTCCCCATTGCTGTCATCAGTCTGCAGAAGGAAACACAACCCACCGTCATGTCTCTCAGGAAGCCTTGTGGGCAAATGTTGCAGGATGCAGCTATGCTGTTCAGCGGTACATTCTAAAGCAAAAACCTGATTTCCTTACTTAATTAATAAATAAAATAAATCCCCTGGGAAGAAGGTTCCTTCTAAAACAGTTGAATGGGTCCAGTTTCCTTAGCACTGGGTCAGTGACAGGCGTGGATCAGAAAAAGGAGGCAGGAGTGTAGACACAGGTTCAACAAGAGTGACAATAACTATGCGCATGTGTACAGCATTTTATAGTTCACAAATGGCTTTCAAAACATCATCCTTTTTGATGCTCACACAAGTTCTATGAAATAAATAGAAAGGGCAGAGACTTATTAGCACTCCTAGGTAAGATTCACGCTCAGAGAAGGTGAATGATTTGTCCAAGGACTCAAAAGTAATAAGTGGCAGTTGTCCTCTCTACAAACCTGGAACTCTTTACACACCACCCAAGGCAGGAAAGGTATAAACTCTTGGTTGCTAAAGCATGGGTAGGTTCTGAACCATAGGGTAGAACTTTCTAGAAAGGACCAGGAAAGGTCCTTGCTGGGGCTTAAGGGGCCAAGGAATCTCAGGCTATCTTCTTTGAAGATCGAGATGTGAGACTAGAGAAAATAAGGTAGGAAACGTCCCTTTGGAGCAAAGTGGAAGGAAATATACATAATATCTCAATGATATTTCTGGCAACAAAACTATTATTGAAATGGATCCTCTTTATTTTAGGAGGGGTTTAAAAGTAATTAAAATGCTGGGCTACACAATGAATCTATACTGTTATAGAGAACAGGGCTGGGGCTACTTCTTGTTTCTCTAGACCTCACCATATTATGACCAAAACAAACATATTATGATCAGGCTGTGAAATGACATTAGCAAAAGAGAAGAGAGATGGTTGGCAGGGGCCAAACTCAACCTGAGGAACAGTTATCAGCAACCATGTGGGCCGTTAGTAGACTCAGAGCTGCTATAACCCCATGACCAAGGTGGAAACAAACAAGACTAGGAGGATGGAGGCTGCTTATACCAACACGCTTTTCAGAAAATAATGATCCAAAATACCTGATACTGGTATTGTACACCATCTCAGAGGGAGAATTAGAGAACTGCAATTATATTTTCATAAAGAACCCTGCAGAAATCAAAACTACAATGAGATATCACCTTACACCTGTTAGAATGGCTATAATTACCAAGACAAAAAATAACAAATGTTGGAGAGGATGTGGAGAAAAGGGAACCCTCATACACTGCCGGTGGGAATGCAAACTGGTGCAGCCACTATGGAAAACAGTATGGAGATTTCTCAAAAAATTAAAAATAGAAATACCATATGATCCAGCTATCCCACTACTGCGTATCTATCCAAAGAACATGAAATCAACAATACAGGAGATTTATGCACCCCTATGTTCACTGCAGCATTACTCACAACACCCAAGACGTGGAAGCAACCCAAGTGCCCATCAACTGATGATTGGATAAAGAAGATGTGGTATATATATATATGATTTCACTCATATGTGGAAGATAAACAAAAACACGGATTATAAGAACAGATTAGTGGCTACCAGAGGGGTGGGGGTGAGGGGGAGGGCGAAAGGGGTAAAGGGGCACTTAGGAATGGTGACATATAAAAACTAGACTATTGGAAGAAAAAAAAAAAAAGAAAGGAAATGAAAAAAAAAAAAACTAGACTATTGGGGGTGAGCACGATGCAGTCTATACAAAAACTGATATAATAGTGTACACCTGAAATTACACAATGTTATAAACCAATATGACCTCAATAAAATAATTAAAAAAAAAAAAGAACCCTGCAGAAAAACACGTGTCAGGTTACTATCTTTCTCTGCCTCTTCATATAAGTCATTTGTATTATAAGCAGAGGCCTCCAACCTTTTTACAACCAGGACCACATTTCATTGAGCCAAAACTTGAAGATATTGGGGAGTGGGCAGAAGGAGGAAAAGAGAATTAGCAAGGAGAAGAGTCCCTGGCTGGGGTCCCTTCCAGGTAGGAATCTGGACAAAACAGAGAGGGAACAAGATTGTGTCACCTAAGTCTTACACACCTGCCACCATCATACCAGGTATATCACTGGCTAGTTCACTAACACTTTCTTCAGCCTAGACCCACTTATCTCCCTCAGATTCAGACTCAACTAGTATTTATTGCACTCCTACTATGTGCCAAACACATAATGTAGCTGTTACCTCAATTACCCCTCTCAGTATCTGAAGTAGGTACTATTATTATACTCACCGTATAGTTAAGAAAATGGAGGTCCAGAAAGGTTAAATAATTTGTCAAGGTTCTATAGCTAATAAATGTTTGAACTAGGACTTGGACAGTAAGAACTTCTTGTCTGAAGACTGGGGTTTGGGTCCTGGCTCAGACAGTAACTAGCTGTGGGACCTCGGGCAAGTCATTCTGACTTCTCTGAGCTTTCGTTTTCTTTTTTTTCTTTTTTTTTTTTAAAGATCTTATTTATTGTATTTTTTCTCCCCAAAGCCACAGTAGTTAGTTGTATGTCATAGCTGCACATCCTTCTAGTTGCTGTATGTGGGACGCGGCCTCAGCATGGCCGGAGAAGTGGTGCATCAGTGCGCGCCCGGGATCCGAACCCGGGCCGACAGCAGCAGAGCACACACACTTAACCACTAAGCCACGGGGCCGGCCCTCGTTTTCTTACTTATTACAGGCAATACTGTAACATGTGCTCTGCCTCCACCATAACATTGTTGTGAAGATCAAAAGAGATTATAGAAATAGAAGTACTTTATAAATTGTTATAAGAATATAAATTTGCATGCCAGGAGGACTAAACCCTTCTGAAGAGCTCATCCTCTACCAAACCTGTGACTCTGTCTTTTTCCACCTCCCACCCACCGCTTTACTCGCCCCTTTCTGTCTCTGAAGGTGGAAGATGGAAGAGGCACTGTTATGATTTCCAGCTTACGCTCTTCCCACATGGGGCCTCTTTTCTTTGACCCTCTTACCAATGTTTCCTCAAAATGGTACTGTGGCTTTGACAACTGCTTATAAAGTTAAACATCCATTTACCCTGTGGACCCAGCAATTCCACTCTTCAGTGTTTACCCAAGTTAAGTGAAAACATATGACCACACAAAGACTTGCACTTGAATGTTTATAGCAGCTTTACTCATATTTGCCCCAAACTGGAATCAACGCAAACATTCATCAACAAATGAAAGAATAAACAAATTGTGGTATACTCAAACAATGGAATACCATTCAACAATAAAAAACAGTGAGGGGCCAGCCCCGTGGCTTAGTGGTTGAGTGCGCGCCCTCCGCTGCTGGTGGCCCGCGTTCGGATCCTCAGGCGTGCACCAACACACCGCTTCTCCGGCCATGCTGAGGCCACATCCCACATACAGCAACTAGAAGGATGTGCAGCTATGACATCCAACTATCTACTGGGGCTTTGGGGGGAAAAAATAAATAAATAAAATCTTTAAAAAAAAAAAACAAAAAAACAGTGAACTGTGGGTTCATATAACATGGATGAATCTGAAAAACACGTTCAGACACAGAAGTATACTACTGTATACTTCCATTTATATGAAGTCCAAGAACAGGCGAAACTAAGCTATGGTGATAGAAATGAGAGCTATGGCTGCCTAGAGGGGTAGAGATTGACTGGAAAAGGCTATGAAGAAAGTTCAGGAGTAATGGAAATGTTCTGTATCCCAAATGTGTCTTGGTTACACAGGTACATACATTTGTCAAAACCAATCAAGTCGAACACTTAAAATCTGTGCATTTCGCTGTATATAAATTGTACCTCAAGCAAACACACAAGCACATATATACAAACAGTAAAACCCTATTCTGGCTCCCTATTTCCTCTCACCAAGTTCCTAAAGTGTGGGAATTGTGGAAGAATAAAAAAAAGGTTTCTGGGCTTACTTGTCTGGCAAGATGATAAAAACAGATGCAGAAATAGTTATACTATATAAATAAATAACAACAGCAGATAATTATCTGGTGTTTATTATGTGCCACGTACTTTTTTCTACATATTACTTACACCATGTTGCACTGTGCTTTTCCATTTACCAATTTATCATGTAGATTATTCCCACCAGAAGCATTTTTTTTTGCATTTAGTTTTTTCTTAATTATCTTATTGAGGTCATATTGGCATATAACATGGTGTAAATTTCAGGTGTACATTATATTTCAGTTTCTGTATAGACTACATTGTGTTCACCACTAATAGTCTAGTTTTTATCCATCACCATACATATGTGCCTCTTTAACCCTTTCACCCTCCCCCTCCCCCAGAAGGTTTTCTTTTCTTTTAACATTTTATTTTATTTTATTTTACTTTATTTTGCTGAGGAAGATTTGCCCTGAGCTAACATCCATGCCAATCTTCCTCTATTTTTAGTATGTGGGCTGCCAGCACAGCATGGCTGCTAACAGAGCAGTGCAGGTCTGTGCCTGGGAACTAAACCTGGGCCACCGAAGCAGAATGCACTGACCTTAACCACTAGGCAACTGGAGCTGGCCCACCAGAAGCTTTTCTTAATAGCAGCACAGAATTACCTTAATTGGATGTATGATAATTTATTTAACTTGTTTCCTATTGATGACCATTTAGGTTGTTTCCATAGTAGTGACAACTTAATTTGAAATGCACATTCTGAAATGCACATTTTATGTACATTATTTCACTTATTCCTCGCAACAACCGTATTAGGTAGAACTACTGTTAGCTCCATTTTACAAACAAGGAAACTGAGGCACAGAGTGATTCAGTAACTTAACTGCACACTAGTAAGTGCTGGAGCAGGTTCAAACCCAGGAAATCTGATTCCCAAGTCAACACTTTTCCCCACCATACTCCACTGTCTAGCATCAATAATAAGAAACAATTTGTATCTTGGCTGACTGTCTTAAGCCTGGTTAAAATGAAATAAAGATTGATTTATAACAATAGCTACCATTTTCGAATAGCTACTATGTGCCAGGAAAATATTATCTTTATCTCAATAACCTTATAAAGGTATATTTTTCAGAAGAGAAAGCTAAGGCTCAAAGAGGTTAAGTGACTTGCCACAGACGACAAAACTAGCAAGTGTTGGGATTAAGGTCCAAGTTTCTCTAACTCCAAAGCCCACACACTTTATCTAGCACATCACACTGCCTCTATATTGCTCTTACATGTTAGGAGATTTAAAAATGACTGCTTCCTTTTACCTTTTTTTGTAGGGGCTGCACTCAGACCACATGGGCTTCCGTAGTCAGAGTGGCCCTAACAACTTTTATGCATATGCTACAAAATTCAAAAACTTCAAAATAGAGTACAGTCTCCCTTCCAATCCTGACCACAGACCTGCAGTCCCAGTCTTCCTCATCAGAAGCCACCACTGGTTTTGGTTTTGAGTACCCATGCAGAGATAGTATATTCATATACAAGCTTGTACACACACAGCTGTACATACATCCCTTTCCCTCCCAAAAACAGTAGCATACTATTTATACCATATTGCACTGTGCTTTTTCATTTACCAGTTTATCACATAGATTATTCCCACCAGAATCTTTCTTTAATAGCTGCATAGAATTAACTTAATTGGATGTACCACAATTTATTTAACTTGTTCCCTATGGATAGACAGGTTGTTTCCATGGTAGCGACAACTTAAAGATGTCCCCCCCATACACAAGTAATTCTTTCCTACCTCCTCTGGCTAATAGTGTACACAATCTTAATTTCCTATTCCTTCTTTATTCTGTCTCATTCACTATCAAGTCCTATTCATTCATTTCTGTCTCTCTTTTTTTTTTTTTTTTTTTTTTTTTTT